CACAAGTTTCCCCGGAGTTGGGTTTTCGCTTGCATTTGTTTCCAAAATGCTGCTCTCGCTGGGGCGCCTGCCTCATTTTCGGGCCCCGCTCGTTCCGAATCGTGCTCCCGCTGCAGCGCTGGCCTCATTTCCGCGCTTCCGCTCGTTCCGAATCGTGTTCCCGCTGCAGCGCTGGCCTCATTTCCCGTGCCATGCCACGGCATGCAATGCAATGCTAGGTTGCGTTCCGCTGCGCGATGCCATGCCTTCAGCTGAAGCTGTGATATGCAGTGCGCAAGTGCCACGTCGTGCTATGCCATGCTACGCTTTGATCTTCAACGCCATGCTATGCAATGGTATGTTCGGGGCCGCTGTGCGATGCCATGCTTTGCGTTGCAAAGCTTTGTGATGCAATTCTTCACTACGCCACGCCAGGCCATGCTGTGACATACTACGCTTTGCGGTGCTCTTCTACGCCATGCCATGCCGTGCTCTACAATGCATCGCGTACCCTTTCGGGATCATTGCCCTGCTCGACATCCGACTGTGCGAGTAGAGAGGGGATCTACGCCATGGTAAGGGATGGGAGGGAGGGGTAGGATGTCAGATATGACGCGAGCGCACCTAGCTTGCCTCCCTCCCCTCCCTCCCTCCCCTCCCTCCTCCCCGTCCCTCCTCCCTCCCTTCCCCTCTCCCCGCCTCTTCCTCCTCCCTCCCCCTCTCCCTCCCTTCCCCCTCTCCCTCCCTTCCCCCTCTCCCTCCTCTCCCTCCTCTCCCTCCTCTCCCTCCCTCCCTCCCCCTCTCTCCGCCGCAGGGCCGCCCTCGCGCGGGTAGAAAGATGCATAGGCGATCGAGCACGCACGCAAGCACTCGCAGCCGAGACTCCACAGAGCGGGTTGCCTGCAAGCTCATGTCCACGTGGGGACGCAGCACCCAGAACGCCTCTGACCTCAGGCTATCTTTGGATAGGAAAGGCCATTCTGGCAGCGAGCAGATCCTGAACAGATCACAGAACCCCAGAAACCACACTAGAAGGGTGCAGATTGAGGGCAGCAACGGGAAGTCATCATCATTCGGCGAGCTATCGTCTCGGATGCAAGAGCTCCGCCGATGCATACAGCAATCTAGTCCCCCTCCTTCCATCACTTCCACGTGGGAGCGGGGAAACCAAAAGGTACCGATACCGCTACTCCCTGGACCTCTCCCCGGGGTGCGCTCTGACCGGGAATTTCGAGGCGCATCCGGCGGTGGCGCCGAGGGCCTCCCAGGAGGCCCAAAAAGTAGTGGCAAACGAGCAAAGGGTAGCGGGTATGGGTACCTTGTCCTCCTCTGAGGGAGAGGTCGGGATACGGAGACTGTCAGGACGTGCCACTGGGAGCAACAAGGTCGTCAGGCCTTGGTAGTTCGACGGGGGCCAGGGTGCACGGCGGTACGCATCTTGCCAGGCCAACCTCCACGGGCTGGGGGCCCTGCCGCGTGAAGAGAATAGAACCGCCGAGGCAATCCTTGACGCCGTAGTTTCCGACGGCCCTCCTCTCCCTCCTCATGGTCAGCAGGATGCGGGCGAGGATCGAGGGGATCGGGCGGGTGGCAAGGAGGGGTGACCCACATGGGGGGTGAAGAAAAAGGCCTTCAAAAGGAGCACTGTAGGGCCCCTTTGGGGCCCCTGCTGGCTCCAGAAGGCGCCCTACAGGGCCCACGTAGGGCAATGTTCTTCCCCCCCCGAGTCAGGTCACCCCCTACGGTAGAGGGAAACAATTACTGAACACTCCCCCTCCCCCCAAACTCAATGTTGGCACGCGCGGGGGAGACTGCGGTCGAAGCGCATCTCATCAGACTCACCGCCAACTTTGAACATTGGGGGGAGGGGGAGGCGTTGACCGTTGAATGTGGCATGTGTTCGCTAATTTGTTCCGAGGCCTGTATCACCACCCGCCCGAGAGGAGGACGACGAGAGGTCCGGGGCCCTCCAACGACTCGATGTGTCGAGTCTCGGAGTCCAAGACCTCTCGGCCTCTGCCCCAAGACCGGCTTCTCGTCCCTCGTCGTGGTTTGACGGCCCCGTGGTGCCCGAAGACGGCCTGTCAGAGGCCGCCAACGCAAACAAGCACCCCAAGTTTGGGTGTCTTTTGGTCGCAAACTCGATGCTCTAGAGTATGGGTCAGAGACTCGAGTATCGAGTTTGGGTCCCAAACTCGATACTCTTGAGTCTCTTGAGGCCTGGTGTGGGGGGGACGGAGCAGCGTGCCGGGTCGGACAAAAGGGGCAGATAGCAACGGGGCTCTTCGCGAGCTAGCTGTATGCAGCTGAAACTCGGCGCACCCCGGCGCTGGAGGCAGCCATGCGTCGACTCGCCATCGCTCGGACGACCATTCCCTGTGCATTTTTCGATTTCGCGCGCTAGTTTTCGCCCGATGATCCAAAATGCTCCTCGATGGTCCTCGGCGAAAAAACGCACACGTCCGAGCGATCCCAAGTCGAGGAATCATCGCCTGGCGGGACAGAAACCAGCTGCATCCAGCAGATGTCGTCCCCCCCATTTCGCACTTCCCCGATATCCCTCGTTGTCTTCCGACCCGAACCTGCGAGGCCCGCAACGATATATGTATACACATATATGTGTGTGCATGCATACATACATACGTACGTATATACATACATACATACGTACGTGCATACGTACACACATACATACATACATACATACATACATACATACATACATACATACATACAGACATACATACATATATACATACATACATACATACATACATGCATGCATACATACATACATACACATATACATATACATATACATATACATATACATATACATATACATAAACATACATGCGTACGTGCATACATGCATACATACGTACATGCATACATACATTCATACATGCATGAATACATACATACACGCATACATACATATATACCTACTACAAACATACAAACATACACACACATACAAACACACAAACATAAGACGCATATAAACATGCATGCATACATACACATACATGTATATGTATAAACATATATGTATATATATATATATGTATGTACACTGCACAGGTAATGGAGCTGTGAACAGAAGGGCCAACAGACCAGAAAGAGGAACCGAAACAAGCCGCCAAAACGAAACGACAACCCATGGGAACAATGGCGAAAAACCTTCCGTCCTGATGTTCCACGACGCGAGGTTCGCGAAGCAAAGGGTTCCGGCACGTCTGCTTCTCCTGCCAGTAGCGCAAGCAGACTGGGGGGGTGCTGACCAATCGCCGAAAGCAGCCGCCTAAAGCAGAAGGGGCCACAACCACCAGAACTCCGTAGAATATCCGTTCCCGAGGGCCACCCCCTCCCGAACTGGGGGCACTCCGTTCCGGGCACTCTCTAGGGGCGCGCCCGGAACTGGGTGCCACCAGCTCGGGGGGGGGAGGGGGGGGCTCGTGGTGGTGGTTCTTCTCGTAGAAAACACTGCTTGCCTGTGGCCAGCCCGAACGGGACATGAAAAAGAAGGCGCGGCCCCCTGGTTGGACCCGGCCGACCACCCTGACCTCGTGGGCGATAAACGTAAGCATCCGTACCCGCGGCCTCGCGGACAAGGGGCGCGATCCCGCGGATACGCGGTCACACGGATGCTTTTTATGCGCGGGGCATGCGCGGAATCCGCGGATCCGGCACCACCCCCCGAAGCAGCTGGAGGCGGGCCTCCCTGGGGGCCTCGAGCCAGCAGCAGAGGCACAGAGTGCTCCGCGGCGGGAGAGATTGGAAGAGAGAGGTGCGGCCCAGCCGCTGCCAGAAGGACTGCCGGACAAGGAACGAGACCCCTCTTCGGAACGAGGCCCCTTGCCGGCACCAGGAACGCTTGGGTCAGCATTAAGTCGGGCCTGTCCCCCTGCAGGGGGATTTTCGACGAAGAATAACAAATACCCCAGAAATGATTTAAAAAAGACTCCAAACATAGTATGGGGACTATTTTTTGGGGGGACCTTTTTGGGGTATTTGGGGGATATTTTCCATTTCTCGTCGAAAATCCCCCTGTAGGGGGACACGCCCGACATAAGGACAGCACCGGGGAAAGCTCGAGGAACAGCCTCGGAGCGACCCGAGAAACAGCGAGGCCCGTTCAGAGCCCACAGCGGTCCGTATCTCAGCGTCGGGGAGCACCCGGAGAGCTCGAGGAACAGGCTCGGAATGACCCGAGGAGCTGCGGGCCCCTTGGGAGCCCAAAGCGGTCCTGCAGCGTCCTGACTGTAGAGAGAAGAGCGCTGAACCCTGATGTTCCACGACTCTTGGGCGCCCGAATTATCCAAGATAGCTGCGGTCCGGGGCAGCTTCGGTTTGTGCGCCCGAGGCGCGAATCTGTAGCTACCCCTGACCGCCTCTAGCCCTTCTGATTCGGAGGGGCTAGGCGCCCGAACAATCCAGGATGCCTGCGGTCCGGGGCAGCTTCGGTTTGTGCGCCCGAGGCGCGAATCTGTAGCTACCCCTGACCGCCTCTAGCCCTTCTGATTCGGAGGGACAAGGCGCCCGAATTATCCAGGATGACTGCGGTCCGGGGCAACTCTAGCCATTCTGCTTCGGGGGGGTTGGTGGGCGCCTGAACAATCTAGGATGACTGCGGTCCGAGGTGGCTCCGGCTTGGGCCCCCGAGGCGCGAATCTGTAGCTACCCCTGATCGCCCCCAGCCCTTCTGCTTCGGGGGGGGAGCTGGGCGCCTGAATAATCCAGGATGACTGCGGTCTGGGGTGACTTCGGCTTGGGCCCCAGAGGCGCGAATCTGTAGCTAGTTCCCCCTGACCGCCTCCAGCCCTTCTGATTCACGGGGGGGGCTGGGCGCCAAAATAATCCAGGATGTCTGCGGTCTGGGGTGACTTCGGCTTGGGCCCCAGAGACGCGAATCTGTAGCCATCCCTGACCATCCCCAGCCCCGATGCTCCAGAGCTCCGAGGCTCTGCGAAACTGGCGCACGTGCTGCCTGCACGACCACCGGCGCACGGCGCGCCACGCTAGCGGGGCCCCCGGCAGGCCCCCCCCTCCCACTCCTTTCCACATGCGGCGGCCCTGCCCTGCCTGCAGCGGGCTGCCACGCAGCGGCCTCATCTCCCTCCCTCATGCTAGGCAGATGGAGACAGAGGGAGAGAGCGAGAAAGAGAGAGAGAGAGATATGATATGGATAATGCACGACTTCGAAAAACCCTAAACCCAAAAACGCTTTCTCTCTGGGGGGCGCATGTTTTACTTCCGCCACCTTCCGCCGGCCTTCCGCCGGCTTCCGCCGGCGGAGGCGGCCTCGTTTTGCCTCCGCCGAACTTCTGCCGCCTTCCGCCGGGGAAGAGACGACACCTCCTTGGACCCTCGAAGGCAAGGCCCTGTCTGGAACGCCACAGATACCAAGAGAGAGAGAGAGAGAGTCAGAGAGAGAGAGTGAGAGAGAGAGAGAGAGAGAGCCAGCGTGAGCATGGCCGTCGGCTGAGGCACCCGCGCTCCCGACGTCGTCTCGACGCACAGGAGCTCCCTGGAGAGCCGCCGCGCTGCTGGCACGTGCACCACGCAGTGACGCCGCTCGGCGTCCCAATCTCCAGAGCAGTCGTGACTTGCCTGGCCGGCCAGCTGGAGGAGCAACGGCACCAACATCGAGATCGAGACGGGCAGAGAGTGTCCTCGTGGTGGTACCGTGTCCTTCCCCCCAAAGAGCGGTGCTTGCACTCGGGGCTCCTTGCTTGCTGTTCAGAGAAAGCTCGTGTGCCGACTGGGCCAGCGTGTTGCCACCCCGTCGCCGCCACGTGGCCGCTCGTCGCCGCGCGTCGCCGCCTCGCTGCAGGCTCGTATGCCGCCCTGGCCAGCTTGTCGTCGCCCCGTCGCAACCTCGTCGCGGGCTGGTGTGCCGCCCAGGCAGGCTTGTGGTCCCCCAGTCGCCGCCCCGTCGCCGCTCGTCGCCGCCCGTCGCTGCCTCGCCGCCGAGCACCGCATAGCTTACTCCGCATAGATTGCACCACGTATGTTGCGCTCCAAAGCTTACAGCGCATCGCTTACACCACATAGTTTACACCACAAAGGTCACACCACACAGATGTTCCTGCATAGCTTGCACGACTTTGCTTGCACGACACGGCTTGCATCACATAGATCGCACTGTATGGGTTGCACCACGTACTTTGCACCACGTAGTTCACATCACACAGATCGGACCACACAAATTGCACCACATAGCTTACACCGACCACCTAGATGAACACATTGGTTGGTTCCATATGGTTTGCACCAGGTAGCTTACACCACATTGATTACACTGCGTAGACTGCACCACTTAGATTGCACTACGTAGCTCAAACCGAATAGATGGCACCACGTGGATTACACCACATAGTTTACACTACATAGATCACTCTCCATAGATCGCAGCACATAGATTGAACCACGTAGGTTGCATCACTCAGCTTGCACCACATAGCTTGCACTACATAGCTTGCACGACATAGCGTACACCACATAGCCTGCATCAGGTCGATTGCATCACCTACGCTGCTAGGAACCACTTTGGGGGCCCACGCATGGTGAAATTCCCCAATCAGAGCTTGCCCCGAGTCCTGGCGGATTCAGATGGCTAGGTTAGGTTTGCCGCCGATTGTCGCTGCACGCCCGGATGCCCGGGTGCCAGGGGGTGCCCGGGTGCCCGGGCGTGCCCGGGCGTGCCCGGGGGTGCCCTATAGCCCTATAGCCCTATAGCCCTATAGCACTACAGCTCTATAGCTCTATAGCCCTATCGCCCTATAGCTCAATAGCCCTATAGCCCTATAGCCGTATAGCCCTATAGCCCTATAGCCCTATACCCCTATACCCTATAGCCCTATAGCCCTATAACCCTATAGCCCTATAGTCCTGTAGCTCTATTACCCTCTAGCCCAATAGCCCTATAGCCCATATAGCCCTATTGCCCTACAGCCCTAAAAAGATTATGATTGGAGTTTTTCTCCGGTCTCATTCCCAAGGGTTCTTACTCTCTATCTTAAAAGGGCCGGGCAGTGGGGCTCGCCCCGGGCGGTTCCCCCGGTATCCGCCCCGCGGTTTCCCCAGTTACGTCCCCTTAGCTTAGCGTTGCTTATATCATCTTAGCTTAGCATATTTCATATTAGCTTAGCTTAGCTTCATCTTAGCTCAGGTGTATCTTAGCTTAGCTTACCTTCATCTTAGCTTCGCTGAGCTTTAGCACAGCAGAGCACAGCATAACATAGCATAGCGTAGCATAGCATAGCTTAGCATAGCACAGCATGACACAACATAGCATAGCATCGTATAACACAGCATAGCATAGCATAGCATAGCGCAGCATAGCATAGCGCAGCATAGCATGGCATGGCATGGCATAGCACAGCATAGCATAGCATAGCAACTAATGCTGCTTTCCTAGGGGCTCCAACTTCTAGGTAGGGTCGCACTGGGGTAATTGTTTTCTTGCGTCTTCATCGACACACGTCTCCGATCCCAAGTATTGTGCACCTCCTCGCTGATGGTGACCCTGCTGTGGTTGGTGCCACGTCTTTCCTCCGAGGCTGGGGGTTAAGCCCTGCCAGGGGAATCCGTGGGGCCTTGGAGTGCAATTTGCAAAAGCCCCAATCGACGGCGCGAGTCCCGAATACGCTTTAAGAGATTGCGTTTCCGCTGGATATGCGTTAGGTCGCACAGCAAGCTTCAATGAGTCAGCGACTTGAAAGGGCAGTCCTTGGAAGGCTGGACGAGAATGACGGTGCATGCCGAAACCCTTCCGACATGGGTGAAAACAAACGAGCGTCTGTGTCCGAAGGGGTATGAAGCCCCTGTCCGAAATTGTGTTCACGTTGACCCACTCATGGTGGTCCCCGACTGCCTTGACTGACATGGATGAGCTCTCGAGTGGAGCCACGGGGGTAAGCAAGGCAGGCTCGGCCCTGTGACCACCCTCTGCGAACACAGGGCAGGCAGAGCCACCGCGTGCACGACTGTCGCCAGCATGCCTGCCCCATTCCCTCTTGTTCATCCTTCTCGCTTTCAGCTGCATCCTCTTCCTCGTCGTTCTCTGTATGTGCCGATACAGCTATGTTATGTATATCAGTACATTTGACTCCGCGTTTGTAGGTATTGATGTTTTGTTATTGTCTTTCGTTCTTGCTTTTTCTCTCTCTCTCTCTCTCTCCCATTCTTTCTTTCTCTATAGCTGTCCCTCCTAAACCCTCCACCCTCACCCCGCATTCTCCTCCTGGCCCATTTTCTGCGGCTTCCTTCCTCCCTTCTAACCTTTGATCCCTCCTCCGCCTCCTCCTCCTCCTCCTCATCCTCCTCCTCCGTTCTCCCGTCCCCCCTCCACGCTGCACACTCCTATTCCCCTTCCTCCTCCCCCTCCTTCTCCCCCCCTCCCCATCCTCCTAACCATTTCGCGTCCGAGCGCCCCCACCCCCGTGCACGGGGCGCGCGCGGGTGTTTCGCGCGCCGACTTCGGAATTGCCTCGCGCCCGAGGGCCACCATGAAGAACCGCCGCGCCCAGCATCATCACATATATCAGATCATCCTGAGATCAGGCGCGGGCGAGGCCGCCAGAAGAAGTGCCCTCCCCCGTCCCCTCTTCGCTCTCCTCTCCCTCCCCCTCCTCCGCCCCCCTGGCGAGCACTGGCGACCGCCGGCTCCGGACCGCTGCCGCAGTACAGGATTCAACCCTCAAGGAAGGCACCACCGTCAGCACCGCCGTCACCACCGTGCGAGACAGACAACAGCGACAGCCGCCTGCGACACTGCGAAATTAGGACGACCAGTGGCAGCAACCTCTGTCATCGCTGGAGCGCAGGTGCAGAAGCCAACACACCACCAGCTGCAGCGACGGAGTCAGCTCGTGCGCAGCCACAGGCAGTGGCCACGAGCGCTGTCAGGGCGGGAAGGGCCAGCCATTGCAGCAGGCTTTGCTACAGTCAAAAACCCAAATAAGGACGCGCGGTAAGGACGCAAGACCCTTGGAGGCCGAAGTTTGGATTTTTGGGGCGGTGGACGACGAAAACCTAAAGGACGCAAGAGCAAGGAAGAGCAAGGACGCAAGGGTACCCTGAGCAAAGTCGCGCGTCCTTATTAGGGCTTTTGACTGTAATGTGAGCAGCAACGCATGGGCCGACAACATCAACTGCATCGCTGGGGGGCGACCGTGTGAGAAAGGCGTGGCCGCGCGGACCAACGTCATCGGCTGCAGGGCCGGGGCCACGCGAGAAGGCCGAGCAGTGCCAGCAAAGTCTGCTGATGCTCAGCGTGGTGGACGTCGAAGGTGCAGTCAACCAGTACAGGAAGGATGCGCGATAAGGATACAAGGGCCTTGGACGCCCATGTCGAAGCTTTTCGAGCGGGGCGCGGCCAGCGAAAGCGGCGAAGGACGGACCGAGGAGGCAAAGATGCAAGGGCACCCTTGGGAAAGTTGCCCATCCTAACTATGCCGATTGACTGTAGAGCCCGCTGCCATCAGCTACAGCGCTGGGATGCGGCCGCGCGAGATGGGCGCAGTGTGAGAAAAGGCACGGGCGCGCGGGCCAGTGTCATCAGCTGCAGGGCTGGGGCCAGCTCGTGCGTGTGAGAAGGCCGACCAGTGGCAGCAACCTCCATCGCAACTCCGCAGGATAGAGGGCGAAGATCGAGCCCGACGTCATCTGCTACAGCGTTGGGGTCAGGGCGCGCGAGAAGCAATCGACAGCAATCACGGCGCTGCTGCGGTCAGCTCGTGCAAGAAGACAGGCAGTGGCAGCTCGTGCTGGCAGTTCGAAAAGGCAGGCAGTGGCAGCAGGCTCGGTCGCACCTCATCGGTATGAGAAAGGTGAGGTTAGAGGTCAGCAGCTACACTGAGGAAGGCGACGTGTCAGCTGCAGCGCGGGAATCATGACGTGCGAGAAAGACCCAAGTCGAAGCTAGAGCCCGATATCTCACAAGACAGTGCTTGGAGCGACCTCTATCGCTACTCAGCGCCAAACGTCATAGCTACAGCGTTGGGGGGCCAGCGACCTCTGTCGTGCTCAGCGAGAGGCGGAAGGCGCAGCTGGAGCCCGTTATCAGCTGCAGCTCTGAAATCAGGGCGTGCGAGAAGGGCAGAGAGCAGTCCTCAGCGACAAAGCAGGGATCAGCTCGAGCAAGCGAAGGCGACACATCTTCAGCTACACTGCTAGGGTGCGCTGGTGCGCGAAATGCCGGAGAGAAAGCTGGAGCCAACCGTTCTCAGCTGCAGTTCCAGTAAGCTTCTCGGAGCTTTGATAGGGAACCCACGAGTGACGTACGCGCCCAACCATGTACACGAACACGGCCGCCCGATCCCCGAGACCGGCCGCGTGATACGAACGCTCGCGCATCACGTACTCTCGAAGACATCGCGGATGCATGTACGTATACGTCCTTCTTCCGCTCCTGATTTGAGGCAGCCCTTGTCGACCAGGAGAGGCCTGGGGGCTGGTGCTGCTTCTTTCATCGTTGTCTCTGCTGTCGCGCACTCGGGCGGGCAAATCCAGGCGAATCCCCATCCTCGTCTGTCCTTGCCCCGCCCACCTCCTCTCTCGGCCGCCGTCGGCACCTTCCTGGCCGCGGCGACCTGTTGCCGCCTGCAGATCCCGAATGTCCTCCTCCTCCTCCTCCTCCTTCTCCTCCTCCTTCTCCTCCTCCTTCTCCTCCTCCTGCTCTTCGTTATCCTCCTCCTCCTCCTCCTCCTCCTCCTCCTTCCTCCTCCCTCCCTCCCCTCCTCCCTCCCTCCCTCCCTCCCTCCCTCCCTCCCCTCCTTCCCCTGCTTCCCTCGTCCCTGCCCTCCCCCCGCTGCCGCCTGGGCCTGGGCGGAGCTGGCCACGGCCATGAGCGCGGCGGCAAAGGCGACCGCGTCGAGGTGGGCGGGGGGCGGCCGTGGCGGCTCCTGGCGATCCTGCCGCAGGGGGGGGAGATGAGGAGGGAGGACTCCTCCCCCCTGTTTTTGACCGGTTCCGGCTCCGGTTCCAATCCTGGAGCTGTTTTTTTGCCGTTTCCGGTCGCCGTTTTTTTGCCGTTTCCATTTCCAAGGACCATTTTTCTGGAAACGGTGAAAAAACGGCCCTGCCGTTTCCGGGGCCGCCCAAGGGGAGGAGGAACATGACGAGCAATAGAGTCGAAGCATGGTCACCAGAACCTGTGCAAGAGCATGGGCCCCTGAGACACAAGCGCACGCACTGACACGCTTAGCCGGGATGTGCGTTCGATGGTGAGAAATGCACCCGCCGAGGGGCAGCTGCTGCAGGGCGTCCCTGGTGAGCTGCGATTGCTTCGTATCGAGGGTGAGCCTGACGATCGCCAGGTCAATCAAGCGGGTCTCGTCCAGCGCAGGGATGTCATTCGCGATGTACTGGCAATTGGCTCCAGGGGCGTAATCGCCCTTTGTTTTTTTTTACGTTTTATCGCACGTCAAATCGTCATCATCTCTGCCCTCCTCTTCATTAGCATCCTCCTCTTGATCTCTCTTTCTCTTCTTTTTTTTTTCTCTCTCTCTCTCTCTCTCTCTCTCCCCCCTTTCCTTCTCCTCCTCCACCTTCGTTTCGCTCCTCTGCGTCCTCCCTCTTCGTCACTTCCCTTCCCTTCCCTTCCTCCTCCTCCCTCTACCTCATCATCTTGTTCCTCCTTCTCCTCCTCCCCCTTCTCCTCCCTCCTCTTCCTCCCTCCTCTTCCTTCCTCCTCCTCCTCCTCCTCCTCCTCCTCCTCCTCCTCCTCATCCTCCTCCGTCTCTGCATTCTTCTGCGGGGGACCACCGTTTCCGCTTGGTGGGCAAATTGCAACTACATTTCTGATGTTGGCGGTGGGAACCTGAAAAGCACAAGGAACAACCCAACCAGAAACCAACAAACTGAAGTTCTGGAGGCTGACACTTTAGGGAAGCCTTTGAACTACCACAATCACAAAACAAAACAAACATTCCACGAAAAGCCGTCCGACGGCAAAAGTCCGAAGGGTTGGGGGGAGGCATTCTCCATAAGATCTGTGTGTGTTGTTTTGTTTATTTGTTCACAGGTTGTCCTAAAGTGTCGGCCTCCAGCATTGTTTCCCTGTGTTTCTGGCTTCCCAGCGCCAACATAAGGAACGTGTGTACTTCGTCCACAAAGCGGAATCGGTGGTCCCCCCGCAGAAGGAGAAGGAGGAAGAGGAGAAGGAGGAGGAGAGGCAGGAGGAGGAGGGATGAGGGGGAGGAGGAGGATGAGGAGGAGGAGGAGGAGGAAGAGGAGGGGAAGAGGAGAAGAGGGGAGAGAAAGAGACAGAAGAAGATGAGGATGATGATGAAGAGGAGAAAGAAGACGAGGAAGAAATGGCATCCAATAAAACATTCAACAAAACGCAAAAGGCGGCTATGCCCTTTGAATCCGGCATGTTTGCAAATGGCACTACGACGAACGCACTCACTGTCGTTGGAGGCTTCCGTCAAGTGCTGCTTGGAGAAGTAGGTCAGGATGTCAGTTGTGTTCGCCACGAAATTGTTGCGCACCAGCTGCCGCCCAAAGGGCGATTCGGGATGATGAGGACGAGGGAGAAGAACAGGAGGTATAGGGTGCAGGGGAGGGACGGAAGGGGGAACAGGGATATTGATGACCAGGTGGAGGAGGATGAGAGGGATGTGGATGGGAGAGGGTTGCGAGGAGGAAGTGGGAATGGGTAGGATTATGGATAGGAGGAGGGAGGGAGAAGGAATGTAGGGACAAGGATGATGCCCAGGAACTCGGGCGAACAAGTCGGTGAGGGAGGAGGAGGAGGAGGAGGAGGAGGAGGAGGAGGAGGAGGAGGAGGAGGAGGAGGAGGAGGAGGAGGAGGAGGGGGGGGAGGAGGTTGAGCGGGGGGATCAGGAGTTGGATGAAGCGCAGGCGCGAGGCCTGCAGTGACCATCGACGACGACGACGAAGGCCAGCGACGACGACGCCGCCCTCTGCACCGCCGATGAGGCTTGCCCAGAGGAGGCCAGCCGAAGGTCGCCCAACTCCGCCCAGACCAGCCGAGAGCCGCCCGAAGGACGGCCGACGGCCGCCGAGGGACAGCCGAGGGGCCCAGGGGGGCCCCCTGGACCAGGGCGAGGCCAGGGCACACGCAAAATGGGGCCGGGACGCATCGGGGATCTCTGAGATCCGACGGCTCTGGTGGATGCGTCGGGCGCCGCGGCCGTTCCAGCGCAGCGCGCTCGGGGACCCTCTGAGAGCGTTCTGGAACGCTCTGACACGAGCTCTTCCTGCCCGAGCCCCGCCCAGAGGGACCCAGTCGGGTCGGGCGAAAGGGGGGGATAGCCAAGGGGGGGTTTGAGAATCAGCTCACGTAGCTGATTTTCCCGGCGCCTCCTGGCGCCAGGAGGCGGCTATGTATCGAGGAATGGGCCCCTCGGTGGGGCCGAACCCAGCTGCATGCAGCAGATTTCGTACCCACCCCCCCTTTACCAACCCCCTTCTTTCGTTCGGCCCGACCCAGGGGCCCTCCCGGGACCCCGTTCGGGGTCCGCTCTGCCCAGTTTTCTCCGAGTCGCGTGTGGCCGGGGCCGCGGCAGCCTCCGAAGCGTCCAGCAGCGACTCGGGGTGGGCGCGGCCCTCTGCCCAGCTTTCTCCAAGCTGCGTGTGGCCGTGGCCGCGGAAGCCTCCGAAGCGCCCAGCAACGACTCGGGGTGGGCGCGGCCCCGTTTCGCAAGTCGGCTCCACGCACGATCATCCCTGGGCATGAGTGGCCTCCGGTGCGCGGCCTGTTCTGGGGCGCCACGGGGGTGCCAAACCCAGGCGCGCAAGGCACCGCCATCGCAGTCGCGCTCGGCGATCGGGGGGCCACTTTGGGCCCGCACCAAGGGTCACGTCGGCGAAAGGTCTCTCTTGCGCCGAGTCGACCTCGAAAACGACCCAGGACCAGACCCGGCGAGCGCATGCCCCCAACAAAACCACGACCGCAGCACCTGGCCGAGAGCTGAAAAGGGCACCCCGCTACCAAGGCACACGCGACCAGAGGCCCCACGAGGAGAAGTCCGCGGATCAATCCTTCCTCGACTCTGAGCCTCGCGAGATGCACCGGCAGGGCCCTTCCGGGCCCATCCGGAGATCCTGCGCCTTCGCGGGGCGCGCGCCAACGGGCCGGTCTCTCACTTGGGGCGCCTACTTGGCAGGGCGGGGCTCTGTCCGACCTCCGAGGGCACCCGCAGAGAAGAAGGAACAACGGCGTAAACCTAAACTTTGGTGCCCCGCGCGGATTTCTTGGGTCTGCGCTGGACCCCCCTCCCTGGCGCGCGGAGCGCGCCAGGAACGGCGCCGGAGGCGCCGCCGGGTTTTCCCCAGCGCGGATCCAACAAATCCGCGCGCAGCGCAAAAAGTTGACGTCGTGCTCTGTTCTCTTCGACGCCCGACCTCCGAGGGCACCCGCAGGCAGACGGCGGCGACGACGACGCCGCCGCGCTGTCCTGGCCGCCCTCGCCGCCGCGGCGTGCCGCCGCGCTGGCGGCCGCGTCGGCCCCGCGCCCGCCGCCGGCGCGGGCAGCCCCGTCGGCCTCGCCGGCTCGCCCGGGGTCCTGCCGAGAGGCGTCGGCGTGGTCGCGGTCGTCGCCGTCGTCGTCGTCGTCGTCGTCGTCGTCGTCGTCGTCGTCGTCGTCGTCGTCCTCGTCGTCGTCGAAGTCGTCGAAGTCGTCGAAGTCGTCGACGACGACGCCGCCGTCGTCGTCAGCGTCGTCGTCGTCGCCGCGGCCAGCGACACCGCTGCCGCCGTCGAGGCAGCGGCGGCGTTGCCGACGGCGGCGTCGGGCGCCCGAGGGATCGCCGATCGATTAATCGCTGATCGCTGGTCGCCACGTCCCAATCCGATCCGACGCAATCGATCGCCGAGCGCACGCCCCAGTCCTGTAAAGGCCTGCCGGGGGCGCCACGAATCGACAGCTTGCACTCCTGATCCCGCACCGCACCGAATGGCCAACAATGTACATCTGCCAGGGGTCAAAGGAGGGGGAAGGACGGCAGAGGGACGCGGGGCGGGGAAGAGTGAGAAGCTGGAAGAGAGTGGAGGTAGAACAGGGGGGGCGATGGGGACAGCGGGAGGAGGGCCGGGAGGGGGAGAAGGAAACGGGCGCGGGAGGAGGAGGGAGGCGGCCTGCACCTCGCGACGGCCTTCGCCTCCGCATTCCCCCCCCCATTCTCCTCATCATCCTCCTGAACTGCTTACTCCCCATTTCCTGAGTATAGGTTCTCGCCACTTCCCATCTCCTGCCTGCGGGGTTTGTGGTAGTCGTGCTGCGTGTCCGCCTCCCTCCTCCCTCCTACCCGCATGGTCCCTCCGAAAGTTTGCTCGGCCTCATTCATGCACGGACTCGCCCACACTAAGACTCGTCCACACTCGCTCGCACGTGGGCTCACGCACTAAAACCTTCTCACACTCAGACTCACTCGCACTCAAAACTTAAATTCACTGATACTACAAGCGCTTCCGCTAGTTACGTATTACATATTCGCCTGCGGTTTTAGCTTCCTTGTCGTGGACGTGTAGTGGGCTGGGTCAAAGTGGCGCGATGTATGCGCGCCAGGGGCGCGAGCGGATCCCCGCCGCCGTGGCTGTACGTCGCTCTCTCGCGCGCTTTCGAAGCCGAGCTCAACGGTTCAACCGCTCCCCGATGCACTACGGGTGCTGCCTTGTCATTGGCAACCGTAGTCCCCCGAACTGGCCAGTCAGGGCATCATCTAGCCTCTAGCCAATGCGGTTTATGACCAGGTGGCGACGCGGACGGCGGCGACGCCGACGCCCGGGATAGACCTGGCCCGCGGCCTGAGGATCACGCGTGGCAGCGTCAATCCGATGTCTGAGTTTGCCCCTCCCTGCGCTGCCTACCTCCCTCAGCGCTCCTCCCTCCGCCGAGGAGTAAAGCACTGCTGTGCTAGCCGCGAGCTGAAAGTCAAGACCCCTGCAATCCGTGACCCGCAGTGGCAGAACAGAGCAGCGCCAGCGAGCTGTGGAATTACACAGCGCTGGGTGCGAGCACGAGTCCGTGCAGGAAATGAGCCGGGCGCCCGCGCGCGCAGGCAGGAGGAGAGCGAGGCGCTCCCCACCCACTCCTGCGCGGGCCCCCGCCCGTGCGTGCGGTGCCTGGAGGCGCGCTGCGAGGCGGCGACCGCGTTTTGAATGAAGCCTCTGTGAAATCTTTCAAACCTTTTTGCAGCCTCTTTGCAGCCACTTTGTTGATCGCGGCCGCAAGCGAAGGCGCAGGCGGCGGGCCGGTAAGTCCGGGGCGCGGCCCTTACTAATTTACAGCGGGCAGCAAACTAGAGCGCGGGGTCAAACCTAACTCTTTGCAGCCACGCAAAGCGTCCTGAATCTTGAAGCCTCTCTGAGTGCCATCGCCTCCGCGCGACGCATGCGCTCCCTCCTGCGAGAGGCGCGGCGCTCCGGCTGGGGGGACCCCGCCGCGGCTGCAGCGCCCACGGGTGCGCGGGGCCTGCCTGCCTGCCGCCCCCGTTCCCCTCCCCATCTCCACCCCGGCGCCGCTCCCCGTCCTTTCCGGACCACAGGCGGTGAGGAGGGCATCGGAGAAGGAACCTTTCTCCTGTGAAGGGACCCAGGGACACCCCAATGCATAGACACAACTCCCAGGATTCCACATATTTTCAAACAGTTTATGTGTTTCCCCGCCACTTCCTAATTTTTCTATTTTCCGGGAGATCGACGATTCACTGTGTCTGTGTGGTTTCCCCTTCTCTCTTGCCCATGCAGTTCAAGTCCGACCGAGAGCGCTGACATCGCAACGTTATGACGAAGGGGCGGCACTGCCCCACAGCCCACGGGGCTGTTCCGTGAGGAGGCCTGCCCTGCGAAGCCGACGACAGCTGCTTGCAGACGCAATCCACGCTCGGCCAAATGCCGCACGGACCCCGCCAGCACGTGCCCGATGCACGCAGCACCCTGCAGGCACGGCAGACGGCACCCTTGCACAAGGAATCCAGGGTCTGGAAGCCAGCGGAACACCAGTCGTGGAAGGGCCACGGATGTCACCGCCGCCCTCGTCGGACAAGACCACCTTCGGGATCTGAAGTCTCCTGGGCACGCTCCTCAACGAACGCCCCCACCGTACCTACGTGACCCGAAGACCCGAATCTCAGATTGGGAGGGGTGCGGGCTCCACATGTGCGCCTTCAGTGCCCCCCGACGCCCCACCCCTCATGGAGAGTGGAGGGCGATTTGGGGCCTTCGATTTGGATTGGGGTGGTTTAGTGGGTGGTGATTTCTGGAGTCGTACACGCTGGTGCGGTGCGAATGTTCGGTGGATTGCTGTCACGCCGTCCAGTTGCACATAGATGCCCGCAAGCTCGAGCACCCCGCGACGGCGGCCACGGGGGGGGGGGGGCGAGGACTCAGGAGGCGCTGGACCCACCCTGCCCCCCTAGAGGTCCAAGCAGGACACCCGCCTTGCGTGGTCCGGGCGGGATCCCGCTCCCCTGATGAGTTCTATGACTAGAGGAAAGAGAACAATGCGCATACACCGATTCTGGCCAGGCCCACCCTGAGCCGAGGATCGGTGCATACGCCCTCTACCTTGGCCAGGAAGGTATATGCACCGATCCTGGGTCAAGGATGGGCCTTGCCAGGATCGGTGCATGTGTATAGTTCTCTTCGCCCGAACGAATGCAGGCGCCTGCCAGGACGTAAGAGATTCCACCCGTGAGCAACTGACTGTGTTCCCGTACAGCCCGGGCGGGGCGCACGTCCCGCGATGCGCTGGCGTGTTGGCGCTGGCTGTCTTGGGGTCGCCTGGAGAGCACACCCCGCCGGGCGATGCTGGGGTCACTTGCTTCGGCCACGTTCGGCCCGCCTGGGGGACATCGAAGAGTCATTTACGGGCGAAGAACGGTCTGACATAAACTTTTTCGCCGTCGTGGACACCTACCCTTACGGTGGCACCGTAGGGGTATAAACTTTTCAGCCGCCCAGGGGCAGGTGTCCCCGACGGCGGCTAAGTTTATTTTATACCGTTCTGCGCTCGCTGAAGTCATTGAGTCACTGAGTCATCTCGGGACACCCACTGGTAGATTGTTTGGGCCATCGCGGGACTGCCCTGTGGCCTGCTGAAAGCCACGTTGAGATCATGTGCGGATCATTGGGCCCTTTTGGGGTCACCCTGGGGGCACGGTGGGTCCACGTCGTATCGACGCCGCGGCGACCCCGCCGCCAACGACATCGGCCAATGTGGAACGATCTGGCGATCGGAAGACCGTCGACCGATCAAAGCGGAACGCACCACTCGGTGTCGGAAACCAGCGCAAGCGTCGTCGTGACACGAACCTGTCGCATTGTAGGGTACCTTGGCGCATTGAGGCCATCATGGAAACGCACTCGGGTCGAGGAGCCGCCTGGGCATGATTTCGGGTCCTCTTGAAGGCCTGCGCGTTTCCACCGAGATTCCCGCTGCGGCCAACTAACGCTTCACAGCTCGGCGCCCCTGCGTCGTACAAAACGTGCACGGGGCGCCTGCGCTCACGGCGCGGGATTGAGGCGACGCCTGGACGTGCTCAGAGTGCCGGCGCCTGGCCATGGGCGGTGCCTGCGCTGCTACCGCACAACACCCGTGGCGCCTGCGCGAACAGGGCGCGATGCCTGGGAGACGTCTGCACCCCGTTGTCGGCTGTGCCCGGGCTGCCTGCGCCAGACCCTGCCCAGGGCCTGCGCTGGTGAAGCTGCAGCGCCTGCACTGCCTGCGCGGCCGCCGACAGGACGAGACGATGCCTGCACCCTGCCTCGGCGGTGGACAAACCTCCCTTTAGTAAACCTCCCTTTAGTGAAAACGGCCTGGGACCGAAACCGACGGACATGGACCCGCAAAAATGACGGCCGCGACGCCCCCTCGCGAACCGGAAACGGCCAATTCCTTACTCGACGTGTCAGGGTAGGAGGTCTATCCACCTCCGACTGCTAAACGACGTGCCCGCGGTGCCTCTGGTTGGACCAGCACCCGCGCCGATGCAGAGACGGTGCCCGCGGTGCCTGCGCGAACACTGCTATGACGACGCGACGCTTGAACCCTATCGTTCGACGCGCGTGCGGCGCCCCCCGCCTGGCCATATATGCGCGCCCGCGGCAGCAAGAATCTGCCCTGAGACGTCGCAAGTAAGATCACTCGTGCGCAGATGTGCTCACACTCAGGCCCAATCAGACTCATAGTCCCTCACACTCGCTCACACTCGTTATCAAAAGGCCCTCGGGCTCACTCGGAGCACCCCAGACACGCCCATGCTCTGATAAAAGAGGTTCGGAAGAGGGATGAACCCATGTCTGACTCAATCGATCTCACTATCGATGTCACTATCGATTTCACGATCGATTTCAATATCGATCTTACCGTCGACCTCACTAACGATCTCGCCAGCGGAATCATTATCGATCTCACTATCGATCGCACCATCGATCTCACTATCGATCTCACTATCGATCTCACTATCGATCTCACCATTGGTCTCACTATCGATTTCATGTTGATCTCACGATCGATCTCACTACAGGACACCGACGGGACACCGACGGCACACCGACGGGACAGACGGGAAACCAACGGGACACCGACGGGACACCGACGACAACGACGGGACAGACGGGACATCAACGAGACACCGACGGGACACCACGGCGGGACGATCCGGCCAACGTCCGCACACTGGGGGAGGTTCGGACAATTGTCCTGCCCCGCCCTAGCAGCAGCGGAGTCATTTCTCTTGCCCGCCCACGCAGCTTCGCCCTGCCCGCACGCACGGCACGACCCGAAACCGAAATCGATTTCCCGGTGGGGGGCTCTCCGTCCCACTTCGATCTCACCCCCCCAATTTCCAAATCTTGGAAAATGGTGAGAAAAGAGATGCGCATATGGGAAACCCCGCGTCGAAAAATCATAGCCTGACGCCTCCACCTTCATCATCCTACCTATTTCACCTCCTCCTCCTCCTTCACCGCTCTGCGAAAGTTACACTCACACACGCACGCTAAGAACACTTACATTCAGATTGGTTATTTTTACACTGCCACACACTGATGCTCAGACTTACCCAGGCTTCCTGACACAGGTGCCGCTCATACCCAGACCCATGCAAACACAGAGCCACTCGAATCGGTCATACTCACCCATACGCAGGCCAGCCCATGCTCAGACCCACCCGTACCTAGCATAAAAAATACGTAGACCCACTCACACTCAGACCCACTGATATTTAGAGCCGCACATACTCAGATAATACATGTTCAATCTCACTCACACTCTCACTCACCCGTAATTGCTCATATCTGGATTAAATCATGTTCATCAACCACAGGTTCCGGACTTTTACACAGGACCCCATGACTGGCCCGAAGTAGCAGGCATAGCGCTTGGGAATCCTAATGGGGGGAGCCACCAAAAGGTATGACTCTGACCCTCTCGCGCCTCGGGACCACTCAGGCAAAAAAAAACGTTTGTAGGGGGGGGGGGGCTTTACCTTTCCGTAGCCCCATGGCCGTTGCGTTTGACGCGGCATGGCGCTTGCGAGTCCCAAGTGGGTGCCACCAACGGTACAGCACGGGCCCGTTCGTGCCCAGACGGTCGGGGCCCCCCAGCACAGCTACATCTCTGCGTGCAGAACTACTCGACCAGAAGATTCTCATGTGCGTGCGCTCCAGTTCCCGGCACATCGAACCAGGAGGCCCTCAGCCTGCGGCGACGGAGCGCTCCCTGGCAGTGTCCACTCGGGGAAAGTTCCTGCTGGATGTCTGCAGCATCGGGATGATCTTGGGGGGGGGGGGCCCGAACAAGCGCTTCGCTCGAGGGGTCACACGATCTGGGCGAGCACTGGGCAAGCTTGGCGCCCCGACGCCCCCCCCCCCGCCTGGGGGTGCGGTGCTAACGGGGCCCCATACGGAGAGAGGCCAGGGGGTGCCAGAGCCAGCGAGCCCCTCGAGGCGTCCCCGAACATCTACGGACGCGGGGAAGTGCAGCACCCCTCGGCGGCTCGTCGGCGGGGTCCCCAACGGCTACCCTTGCTGAGCCGAAGAGATCGTGAGGCTTTCGTGTGGCGGGTTGGCGGCGCCAAAGGAGCGAAGCGCTCGAGACGTCCCCGCCAGCCACACACACTGCGGACGCGAACCTGGCGGCACTGCCGCGCCCGCGGTGTCGGGGTGATCACGTGGCTCTCTCGAAAAAAGGGTCCGGCCCACCAGGCGACAAGTCGAAGGAGACATCACCGGCATCTGGACTCGAACCGGCAAGTGTGCCCAGGTACCACGCCTGCTTTGTCGCGGCGGTCGTGGGGCTCTCGATAGAAGTGTCTGTGAGGGGGCGGGGGGGGGCAGAAAGGGCAAAACGCCCAGTACATCCCCAGGACCTTGTCGCGAGCGGGGACATGGCACAACCCCTGGCGGCTCCTCTTTGGGGGGACCAGATGCCACGCCAACTATATCGCGGCGACCCTGAGGCTCGCAGTATCGAAAAATCTGGGGGGGGGCCAGCAAATCAAGTGAGACATCACCGGATCTGGGCGCGAACGGGGAAAAAGCACCCATGGCGACCCCCTTAGAGAGCCCAAGTGCCACGCCTGCTATGTCGCGGTGATCACGGGGCGCTCGAAAACGAGGAGTCGGGGGCGCCGAAACGGGCAAACCGCCCGACGCGTCCTCACAGCCTGGGCGCGAACGGGGATCTGAAGCCACCCCTTGGGGCATCCGAGTGCCACGCCTGCCATGTCGCGGTGATCATGGAGCCCTCAAGACAAGGAGGCCGAGGCGACGGGGAAATGGAAGCACCCCGTGGCGGCCCCCCCTTTGGGTGCCCATGTGCCACGCCTGCGTAGGCGCAGTGGTCATGCGGCCCTCACGGATGAGGAGGCGGGGGCGCCGAAGCGGACAAACCGCCCGACGCGTGCTCACAGCGCCGAAACGGGCAAGCCGCCTGAGACATCACCAGAATCAGCACGCCAACGGGGAAGTGAAACCATCCGATGCGGCTCCTCCTTGGAGTGCCAAAGTTCCACTCTGCTACGTTTTGGCCACCACGAGTGAGCCGAAGCCTAAGGAGCGAGTATGTGTGGGTGGCAACATGAGTGCCAGAGTATGCATGGGTATGAATGTGAGTCTGAGCATGCGTGTGTCTGAGCACGAAGGATCACATTATGGGCGGCCTGTGTGCATGACTCCAAATATGACTTGGCTGAATACGGGCGGATCTGCGTGAATGGTCTGGCATCCGTGATAGAAAATTAGAGCGACTCTGTGTATTGTGCGTGCGTCTGTGGGGAAGGCGGTAATCTGCGTAAGAAGGAATAAGGGGGCAAGAGGGAAGAAGGGAGGCAGAGACAACACACCAGTAGCAAGAACCCCATACCTAGGACATGGGGAACAACTGTAAAATATCCCCAAGACTCCTGAATCCTTGTGACCTTGGACCACTGTTCCTCGTCGCGACCTCTTTGAATACCTACCAGACAGGCCCGACCAGACCCAGCATGCGGCATGGTGGATTCACACTCCTCCGAAAACGTTTGGAGCACAGAAGTCTCCAGAGGAGTCCACACACACACACACCTGGGCGGCGCGTGGGTCGGGCATGGTCCGTCGGGCGACCGTGGAATCCCCCCCCCCTCCCCTGAGCACACGTCCGCTGTCCTGGACGCCGGAGCCGTCGCCCCGCAGCAGGCCCAAGACCTGCACGCGAGGGGGGGGGGGGGGGGCGCCCCGCACGCGCGCGGCGGCCGCCAGCCAGAGCTCTGTCGAGAGCCGGCGCGCTTTCCCCGCAGAGAGGGGGGGGGTCACTGAGCCCCACGCGTGGGAATGGGACGCCCGCGCGGCACCGACGCTCGCGCGGCACTGCCTCCCACGCAGAGGAGGCGGTCGCCCCGCGGGCCCAGCGGGCACAGCCGCGCACCGTGGGAGGGGACGCCCCCGCGGCGGGGCGCCGAAGCTGTCGTCCAGGAGGAGGCGCGTGTCCCTCGCACCCTTCTGCCTTCCACCCTCGTCCCCGCCCCACTCCTCCCTCCCTCCTCCCTCCTCCCTAATCGTTGTGCCATCCTCCTCCCCCCTCCCCCCTCACCAATCTCCTCTTCCTGCGAATCTCGAACTCCCCTCCCTTCACCTTTATAACACCTCCCTGTCGCAGCCTCAGGCTTGTCGGTAAGGCCAGCCAGGCATTTCGCCTGAGACTTCCTCACTACTAGGCACGGTAAAACATAGAATTTGCGACAGTTTCACATTGGAGGGCAGATCGTTCTCAAACTGATGCGCTCGCTTTAGCGCCGCGCACTCGCGCCTCAAAAGTTTATAGCCTGTTCACGGATGCATGGCGGGCAGTTTTCAACATGTGGATCTCGCTTTTAATTCGCAGCGTTGACGTCCCAGGAACGGCATCCTGGCACGAGCTAGGACTGTCAGGACGGACCAGAAACGTGGATCCGCGGCGTTACGGTCACAAATGCAATGTTTTGGCACGACGGGAGGTTTTCAGACGGCTGTCCTCTAATGGGCCGATTCCCGACATGAGAACTAATTCTTATAGGGACCTATGATGAGGAAACTCGGAAGGAGGATTACTGCAACATCGTTGGTGGGTCTTGGGTGTACACTGGTCCTGATCCTCATCCAGCCCAGTTCGTTATAAACAACTCCTCCCTGTCGAGGCCCCAGGCGTCTCGATAGGGCGGACTGGGAGTTTCGCCTGAGATTCCCTCACCACGTATTATCCTGAAACTCGCTATTTGCATCTGTTTCATGGATGGAAGGGGGCGGTTTCCGTTGGCACCACGCACGCCCATCTTCAAAACGTGCAGCAGCTTAACGGATGAGGAGTGGGTCAACATGTGGCTCTCTCCCTGGGCCCTCGTACATTCGTCCCAATCGTTTGCAACGATTTGCAGATGGAACACGTGTCGCTTCCAACATGTGGTTTTCGCCTGTGCGCCGCGCACATTCGTCGCAAAATGCTGCGGCGGTGTCGTTGTTGAAAGGCGGTTCATTTTCATAAGGTGGCTCTCGCCTCAATGCCGCGCGCACTCGTCCTAAACATCTGCAGCAATTTCGCTGATGGTGTGGGGGTGGGGGGGTGGGGGGGGGCGTTGACAAAATGCGGTTACCGCCTTAGCGCTGCGCACATGCGTTTCAAAGTCCGCAAGAATGTCAAGTATGGAAGGTGGTGCTGTTCAAAACGGGGCTCTCGTCATAGCGCAACGCTCATTCACCTCGCAACGATTTCACTGATGGGAAGGGGGGCGTTCTCAAATGTGGTTCTGGCGCCGCGATCATCGCCTTAAACGTAACACTTTCAGCGATGGAAGGGGGGGCGTTCAACATGGTGCTCTCGCCCTAGCGCCGAGCACATGCGTTTTTTCTTCTCACAATGCATAGCAAGTTCACGGATGGAAGGCGGTGTTTTTTTAAAGCTGGGCTCTCGCCTTCGGGACGCGAACACTCGCCTCAACATCCTTGAGCGGCTTTGATCCTTGGTCTTGTTCAACATGAGGGTACCGTCCCAGCACCGCGCGCCTTGGTTCTCGAATGTTACGTTAAACAGGGTGGAGGCTTATTTTTCCCGAATGACGCGTTCGCCTGTGACTCCGTTAAGGTTAACGGTCCAGAACTTCAACGTACGTAGCGCTACACGGGTCCATGGCGGACCTTTCTCAGACTGGTGCTGCCGCTTGACACTGACTTGGAGGCGGTCCTTCTTCCCCTATGAACTCTATGATGAGTATAGGTCACGTTTCTGGCTACTCGCTGCTAAGATGAAAGGCGAATTCTCTGCAAAGCGGGGCACTCTCAAACATCACAGGTCCAACTGCGCTTGTCATTCGAGGGGCTCTTCTTGCAGTGAAGCAGAAGCCTTGTAAGAGGCGTGTGCGGAGGGAACTTGGAACGGGAGTGCGTGCGTGTGTCATCACAGATCCAACTGCGCTTGTCATTCGAGGGGCTCTTCTTGCAGTGAAGCAGAAGCCTTGTAAGAGGCGTGTGCGAAGAGGATTTGGAACAGGAGTGCGTGCGTGTGTTGCAGTATCGTTGATGCACATTTGGCTTATTCTGGTCCTCCTCTGCCTATATCTCCGCCCTCTCTCCCGCCCACACGCCCCTCCCCGATTTTTCCCTCCCTCCCTCCCTCCCCGCGCGGTCAGCGGCAAGGAGGGGGCGCGGAGAGGGGGCACGGATGACGAGGAGCAGGAGCGATGCGGAGGGAAAGGAAGGGAGAACAACCCGAGACGGGGAGGAGATTTACTACTCATCCCCTCCGCCTCACCCTCCATCGGGCCCCCACCCTCTCACACACCCTTCCTCCTCCTCCTCCTCCTCCTCCTCCTCCTCCTCCTCCTGCTCCTCCTCCTCTCCTCCTCCTCCTCCTCCTCCTCCTCCTCCTCCTCCTCCTCCTCCTCCTCCTCCTCCTCCCCCCCTCACCCTCTCCGCCGCCCTCGCGCAGAGAGGAGAGAGCAGCACTCTCTCCCCTCCCCCGGACAGGCTGAGCGGGCCTGCCCCCGCCCCACTGCCGCGAAAGTGCTTCTCCGCACGCAGGGGTGTCACAAAAGGCGCACGGCGCGGCGCGCGGGCAGGGGCGCGGCGCGCGGGCTCCCGGGACGGTGGCCTCGATCAGCCCTCGAGGGCGCCAGCGTTCGAGGATCGACGCTGGGGGATCCTCCTGGCCCCTTTGGGGGGCCTTCTGGGGCGCCCCTCGCTGCCACGGCAAGCTAGAAAGCCTGCGGCTGGATCCTGCTCCCCCTTATGTTCTCCTCCTCCTCCTCCTCCTCCTCCTCCGCCCATCAGATTCCTCCCCCGCGTTCACATCATCGAATCATGGTGTAGAGATCGAGCGCCGTTTCATTCAGTATGCACGTGATCAGCTTTTCCGGCTGACCACCCAGCACGCCAACAGCAACGGAGGCCAAACGGGCGTGTGCGTGCTAGCTTCTCCCTGGAAGGCCAGCTTTGGCTCCCGTCATGCGTTCAATAAGAACACAACGCTGCCGAGATGAGACACCCTGGCCTGGGGTGAGCGCGACTCCAGCCACAGCGCGTTCCGCCTGTCCAGGAAGAAAATGTCGCTGAGCAGGTCGTAGAGGCTCGAGGCCAAGACCTGAGCACAGAGCACAAAGCATCATACGCAGTTGCCGCATTACCTAAACCTGACCGAACTGGAACTCGGACGACACATGCACGCCATGGAGAGACATCAGCCCAGACGATCACCGCAACGTTTGATTCACTCTGGCTGTGCTCCACATTGCGGTCACCATGTGGCCAATAACACGCGCACTGCGGATGGTTACTATGCGGGTTCCTGCCTGCACGCGTACTGAGATGAGGCCAGCAAACCGAAATAACTCCGACAACACGCTTGCATACCGCTCCTGATATTCCCACCCTGCTGTTCTGGGGGGCGCACGACTCCCCAATTCTTACCTCAATGCATCTACGTGGTGGGAAATCTCTGGTGGCACCAGATTATGTGGCGGAAGCGATGTGGCAACGCTTCGTGCCCACCGAGGTGCTGACAAGAAGCTGGGCCCCCCCCCCAAAGCAGGGCCCCCAACTGCTCATGCTTGCGACACGCTGCGCGCCTCCCCGCTGGACGACTGCGGCCGCAGCGGGCGACAACGTGCCGGCGAATCCTCTCGACGCACCCGCACAGGCGGCAGCGGGCGGCAGCGGGCGGCAACGGGACGACACGTGGCGATACCCTCGACGCACCCACACAGGCGGCAGCGGGCGGCAGCGGGCGGCAGCGGTACGACACGTGGCGAATCCCCGACGCACCCACACACTTTTTGATCCGCAGGTCGAGAGCGCACCTCTTCCGGTCGAAGCTAAGCGGGCCGCGCGAAGCTTGAATTGGGCAGAGAAGAGGAGGGAGGAAGCGGCGGAGCCTCAGAGCGAGGCCGAGAGGAGGCATAGCCTCGGATACCCGACGCACCCACGCACGCGGCAGCGGGCGGGAGCGCGGCGAGCCCTCGGCGCACCCGCACTTAAGCGGCGCTCCGAGCGGCGACGGGCGGCCTCGGGCCGAGGAGCGCGGCGAAGCCTCGCGACGCGCCAACCCCGCTCCTGTGGACGACAGGCCAGATGCCCCAGGCGCAGGCACTGCTTTCGGGCGTTGGCAGAATTGGGTTTCGTGGAACCTGGTTTCGTGATTTGCACCGGGGGCGCGCCCCCCCGTCCGATTTCCACTAACCGGGTTAACTGCCGTCACCCGAAAAACACCAGGTACGGCAAACCTGGTTTAGTGAATCTGGCCAATTAGGGCCCCAGGGCCCTACCGCTAACCGGGTCCCTTTACCCGGGGTCCTGGCTATGCCCGATGCTTGGGGAACAAACATGCACGAAGCGAAAACCAGTTGGTTTGCGTGCGGAGGGCTCGAGCCCGTGTGGGGGGGGGAGGGGGGGCGCGCCTAGCCGAGGGAGCGGGGCAGCCCACCCCCCCTCAGCCCCTCGCTTCTGGGGAGGAGGGGGGGCGTGGCCACGGAGCGTCACCCCGTGCCCCTGCCCATAGGCCCCCGCAACGGCAGGGCAGTTCTTTCGCCGTTTGCGAAAAAGTCTCTTGAAGATGGAAGCGGGACAAAAAAGGCGACCAGCAACGGGCAGTCTGAGCTGGAACCAGAACAAAAACGGCGACGGAACGGGCAACAGAAGCGGCGCCCGTCGGAAGCGTTAACGAAATGGCAGAACGGAACCGGTGCAAACACGGCCCTGTCGTTTCCAGGGCCCACCGGGCCCCTGCCCCTGGTCCTGGGCGCTGCGACATCTTGGAAGCGCCCCCGCTCCGCGAGAAACATTCCCCTGGGGAGGCCCAGGCATCCCCCCCGCTGCTCGTGGGGCTCGCGGTGCGGGGCACCACATTCGAACCCTTACACTTAGGTCGGGCGTGTCCTCCTACAGGCGGATTCGGGCCAAACATTGAAAGTAGTCGAAACATATGCAAAGAATAAGCAAGAGTAGTCGGGAAATCGTCCCCAGACTGGTTGTTTACTATTGTTCCCAACCCTCCTGTGGTTGAGGTACTCGTTTTGGATAGTGCAGTGTGGTCGCGTCCTTCTCCTCCCCCCCCCCCCCTCCTCCTCCTCCCTCCTCCTCCTCCTCCTCCTCCTCCTCCTCCTCCTCCTCCTCCTCCTCCTCCTCCTCCTCCCCTCCTCCTCCCCCTCCTCCTCCTCCCCCTCCTCCCCTCCTCCTCCTCCTCCTCCTCCTCCTCCTGCTGCGTCTCTTGCCTGCGGGGACTGGTCATCAGCATCATCAGCATCATCATCATCATCATCATCATCATCATCATCATCATCATCATCATCAATCATCATCATCATCATCATCATCATCATCATCATCATCATCATCATCATCATCATCATCATCATCATCATCATCATCAGCATCAGCATCAGCATCAGCATCAGCATCAGCATCAGCAGCAGCAGCATCATCATCAGCATCAGCATCAGCATCAGCATCAGCATCATCATCATCATCATCATCATCATCATCATCATCATCATCATCATCACCATCGTCTGATGCCTGGGGGGCTACGACCTGCGAAACCGTCGCAACTTTCGTGGGCTCCTGGGAGGGCCAGCGGGGTGGTGTCCCACGCAGCCCCAGACGAGACCTCGCGGCTCTCTGGGGCGCTGCGAACTGCGCAACTGTCGCCACTTTCGTGGGCTTCTGGGAGGGCTCGGCGGAGTGACGTTCTACGAGGATGAGAAAGAGGCCTGGCCGTCCCTTGGGAGCTGCGATCTGCGCAACTGTCGCTGCTGTCGTGGACTCTTGGGAGGGGCGGCTGCTGACGGGGGCGCTGGTGATGGCGAGGGCGTGTAAGGCCCAGCTGGCCTCGAGGTCCCAACGGATGGATGTCATCCACTTGTGGGCGTCGGGAAGTGGGTTCGTGGGGTGGGCGTCGCGGGGAGACATGTCGTCATTGGGGGGGAACTCGGGTCGTCGTTGGCGTCGTCGTGTTTGGCAGCGTCGTGGGGAGAGGCTTCGGGTCGTCCGTCGGTCGGGCAGGTCCGCGTCCCGTCTGGGAGCTCATCCAGGGGGCCGTCGTGGGAGCCGTCGAAGTCGTCGCGGTCGCGCTCATCATAAGGAGGGGTGTCTTGGGGGTGGGGTGGGCCAGGGTCGTCATCCTCGTCATCGTCTCTCTTGGAATCGTGCTGTTCGTGTCTTCGGTTGTCGTAGAAGAGGGCACCGGCTTCGTCGTCGTCGTCGTCGTCGGGGTGAGCCTCGTCGTCGTCGTCGTCGTCGTCGTCGTCGTCGCAGTCGGCGCCGTCGTTTTCTCCGTCGTCGGCTGCGGCGTCAGGTCGGCTGCGTGGTGGGCCGTCGGGTCGGTCGTAGGGTTGGCCGCCTCGGGCCAGGCGTCGGTCTGGGCGTCGTGGAGGCTGCGGGCTGGCCAGGGAGTCGCGTCGCTGAGGCAGGCCCAGCAGGTCAGGGCGTGGGGTGGGCGTCGGTCGGGAGGCGAGTCGTGGGGAGGGAGGCGTCGAGTCGTCGTTGGTGTTGGCGCTTGCGCCGTCGGCGGCCGCCGCCGCAAGACATTGAGCAGGGACGGACCGTCCGGGCATTCCTATAGGCCTACCACGAGATCTCCTTAGAACCCCAAAATGTTTGAATATCAGAAACCATGTTCTTAGAACATGAGCCCGATGCGTGAAAGCAAGGCAGTCTCAGCCAGAAATGTTCTAAGAACATCTCTTGCAGAACACAAGCGGTTCTATAAACTTTCTTTGGTGGGCCTATAGGCGAGCCAGGACGATTCGCCCCTGCTCGAAGACACGGGGGCCGTTCTTCGAGCCCGCCGTCGACGGAGGGGGGGCGGCGGGCGAAGGGTCGGCGCATGAGCCGGCGGCGGCGGCTGGCCCCAGGGCCGCTCCCCTGGGCGTGCCCTCTGCGGGCGGCTTCCCCACCAGGGCATGCGGCCGCTTGGGGATGGGCGCCCGCTGGCGGGCTGCCATCGCCGGCGGTTGGCTGGCCTTCGGTCCCTATGGCCGCTTCCGCGGATATGCCCGCCAAGGGCCTCCCGGGGCATGCGGCCACTCGGGGTGCGGCCCTCGTGGAGGCCGTGGGGTGGTCGCGGGAGCCGTTGGGTCGAGAGGGGGTTCGTGGGGGCCGTCGTCGGGGCCGTTTGGGGGGTACTTAGGCGGGCGCCGGGTCCACGGCGTCGCGTGCTGGCAGCCTCCGCCGCCGCCTCGGCCGCTTCGGTGAGGCGTTTCTCGGTGGGGTAGGCCACGGCTGGCGGATGGATGGGCCTCATCGACTGGGCCCCCGTCGCGGCCGTTGCCGAGCATCCTGGCAGCAAGCCCAGAGGGACGCGGCAAGCAAGGTTGAACTCCTGAGCTTCCTTGTTGAGGCTGCAGTTCTCGGTCTGCGTGGCTGCGTCTGCGTCGTCGGTGGTGTTGGTACCGGCGTTGCGTGGAAGGTGGTGCTGGTGTCGACGTAGGCCGTAGGCGGCGGCGGCGTTGGAGCATGAGGCCCGCTGTCACTTACTCCAGCATCTGGAACATGGCCGCACATCCCATTCATGGTTCCCGCAACGCCCTTGGCGCCAATGTCATTGGTGCCCATGTTCATCCTGCCGGTCGCGCTCTCCCTGGTATGCGTAGGGCCTGGGGAGGATGGCGAGGTGCATGACGGTGGCGGTCTGGTTCTTCTGGGCGGCGTAAGCGAGGCGTTGCCGCGCCACCTGCTCTCTGCGGGCTTCGCAGGCAGATCTCGGCGTATCGGTTGGCTCATAGCTCTTGTAGTCGACGTAGTTCTTGCAGCTGTTGTGACTTTTATAACTTTTGCTGGCGTGGGATGTGGCGTCGTATGCGGTGGCGTGCGGGTGCTTCGCAGGCGCCGCGGCGGCCATCGCGCGGAACCGCCGCCGCGCTCATCGCCGCCACGGCACGGACCCTGCCGGCCCGCTCCCTGGGCGCAGAGGGGGTCCCCACACGTGGCGACTTGGGCAAACGTGGCTACAGGCTGCTCCCTCCTCCTCGCCCTCCTCGTCCACTTGTCCTCCTCCTCCTCCTCCTCCTCCTCCTCCTCCTCCTCCTCCTAGCCTGCTCCCTCCTCCTCCTCCTCCTCCTCCTCCTTCTCCTCCTCGTCCTCCTTCTCCTCCTCGTCCGTGTCCTGGTCCTGGGAGTCCTGGCCCTGGGAGGGGGGGGCGGGCACGCACGCTCCCGTGAGGCGGCGGCCACGGCAGGGCCGCCGGGCAGCACGAGCAGCACGCGCCCGGCCTGGCTGCCGCCTCGGTCCAGGGAGAGCCACACCTGCGGCGCGACGGGGAGAGGGCGGAGGAGAGGCTCCTCCCTCAACGCCTCCCTCCACATCCTCCTCCGCCTCCGCCTCCACCTTCTCCTCCTCCTCCTCCTCCTCCTCCTCCTCCTCCTCCTCCTCCAACTCCTCCTCCTCCTCCTCCTCCTCCTCCTCCCCTCCTCCTCCTCCTCCTCCTCCTCCTCCTCCTCCTACTCCTCCCTCCTCCCCCCTCCCCCAGCACAGCTCGAACATGCAGACGGTGTTGCCACGAATGGTCGAACCCCTCGCCTCCTCCGCCTCATGGTCCTTAGGAGTCCCCGCTCAAACGTAATAGACTTAAGGACGGCAGTGTTATCAGGCACGTGGTGTTCGAGCTGTGCTGTGCTGGCTTGTGTTTCGCCGTAGTGGGTGACGAGGATGGGTGTTCAGGCACGTTGCGCGGTCCTGTGCCTCCAAACTATCCGCTGCACGGTCCTGCGACTCCATGCCATCCTCACTCAGCCCCAGCTGGGAAGTGTGTTGCTTTCTGCCGTGCCGTCATTTTCGCGAACGGGTCCGTCAATGTTTTGCACGGATACCCAACGTATGAAGCATCATGTGTCTAGACCGCAGGAGAATCGGTTGTTTCCGAATCGGTTCTGCAGTGACTTCTCCCTTTCTCTGGTCAGTGGCACGTGGAAGGTGACACCCCACACAAAATCAAGGATCACCAATCGCTCGACGAATGGACTTCGTCTCACGAGGAGACGTGCCGTTTCGGGAACCGTTGGGTGGACGCTGGGGCCGAAAGAGGCTCCGCGGGGAAGGACCCCTCGGACACCGTCAGCCCACGCAGAGCGATGCACATGCCTTGATCTAGATTGACGATGTCCAAGGCAACAGCAAATTGTGCGGCTAAACTTTCGTAGCCACAGCCATGCTCGGATCTGTCTGAGGTTGTCTGGGGAGGCTCCGACGTGTCCTGCGCCCCTCACCCAGGACCCCACGTGTGACTGACAAACGATTCGGCGCACTCAGATTGCCTCTGATTCCGGCTTCTGCTGCGTGTGGCCTATCGTGCGGTTAATCGTGCGACCACCAGACGGAGCTCCTCCTCATCCTTCCCCTCCTCCCCCTCGTCCTCCCCCAACTCCTCCTGCGCGCGGCAAGACACTTGCAGGCCTTTCGTCAGTCGTGCTCGAAGGCAGTTGTCACAGATGCACCATCCTGTCCTGTTCAGACAATGTTTCCCGTGTTTTCTGTTTCGAGAAATATTGTAAAGAGGGCCCAGGACACACTAAACACAAATCACAAGATCCCCCATCAGCTCCCGCG